TCAAACTTATGGTAGCCTCATCCCCCTCAGCACTGATGAAGTTGTCGAGAAGCTGGAGGACATTTTCCAGCAGGAGTTCTCTACTCCCTCCAGGTGAGCTTTGAAGGAGGGCTGAGACCTTGAGGCCGGGGAGAGATGCTTTCCTCCTTTAGGGATGGATGTATGTAGGATGTGAAAGCTACAGCTGCAGGAGAGGAGGCCACAGACAAAGTCCCAAGCTCTAGAAAACAATTGGGAAGATCTTTATTTGGGATACTGTGAAACACTGAGAAGTTTATGCCTGATCTTTCCTGTGTTCTTTCTGGGGCATTGGGAGACCCTCAAAAGGACTGGTGTAAAAGGTCATTTTAGAATTTTATTCTAGATAATAGTGGATAAATAGTCTGCTCCAGCCCATTAGCTCTTATGTGATTGCAAACCTTTGGCCTATTCAGGAAGAGTCTGGTATTGCAGCTGATTCAGTCCTACCAGCGCATGCCAGGCAATGCCATGGTAAGGGGCTTCCGGGTATCCTATAAACGACACGTGCTCACCATGGATGACTTGGGGACCTTATATGGACAGAACTGGCTCAATGACCAGGTAAGAGGAGGAAGATAAAGGGACTTGAAAAAGCCTTTGGATTGTGGAGCCTTTTGCATAGGGGAACCAACCCTGTACCCATGCCACACCCTCTAGGGCAAGTTACTTTCTCTTTTCCCCAGGTGATGAACATGTATGGAGACCTGGTCATGGACACAGTCCCTGAAAAGGTAGGTCCAATCAGATTTTTTCTTTTTTTGATCCAGGGTTTCTTTGTGTAGTCCTGGATTTCCTGGAACTTGAAATGCAGACCACGCTGGCCTTGAATTTAGATCCACTTGCCTCTGCTTTCCCAGCCTAGAATTAAAGGCATCTGTCTATGTCTCCACTTGACACCAACCAGATTCTTTAATGCCCAGAACTTTGCAATGTAGGGTGACTTAGCAGTTTTTTTACATTTGCTTTCATCTTTCCCATCTTCTATAACTAGGGTCTGCGTTTGGGAGAAGAGGTGTTAAGTGGTAGGCTATTTTAAATCTGCAAGCCAATCTCTAGTGGGTTTTTTTTTTTTTTTTGGTTTTTTCGAGACAGGGTTTCTCTGTGGCTTTGGAGCCTGTCCTGGAACTAGCTCTTGTAGACCAGGCTGGTCTCGAACTCACAGAGATCCGCCTGCCTCTGCCTCCTGAGTGCTGGGATTAAAGGCGTGCGCCACCACTGCCCGACCTTAACCTTCTCTTACGATGATTTCCTATCAATTACTGGGGCGGATGGTGATGGCACATGCCTTTAATCCCAGCACTCGGGAGGCAGAGGCAGGCGGATCTCTGTGAGTTCGAGGCCAGCCTGGTCTAGCAGAGCTAGTTCCAGGACAGGACCCAAAAAATCAAAAAGCTACAGAGAAACCCTGTCTCGAAAAAAAAAAAAAAAAAGGTTAAAAACAGTTCTGTGCTGGGCAGTGGTAGCACATACCTTTAATCTTAGCACTTGGGAGGCAGAGGCAGGGGATGGGGATCTGAGTTCCAGGACAGCCAGAGTGTTACACAGAGACACCCTGTCTAAAAACAACAAAACCACAGTTCTACTGTATTGTTAAGTGAATTAGAACACCAGCTGTTGAAACCATTCCATTTAGGCTGTATGCAGTGGAGTATGGATTGGGAAGGGGAAGGGAATTCTGGGCAACTCTGAAGTCTTTTAATTCTATCCAGCTCTTTTGTGTCTTTGGCACAGGTGCATTTCTTCAACAGTTTCTTCTACGATAAACTCCGCACCAAGGGTTATGATGGGGTGAAAAGGTGGACCAAAAATGTGAGTTACTAGTTCACAACTACTTGTGCAGCACCTTGTCTTTTATATTTTAAAGTTTTGCTTTCTATGAGCCCTTTCCCCAACCCTCGTCACCATTCTGCTAAATATTAAATGTCTTGTGTACTAGGTACTACTGTAGGAAGCAAGGATACAATAGAGTAAGGAAATAATTTTGCCTTGATGAGATTAGGGTAAGTTAAATTTCAGCTAGTCGTAAAGTGTTGTGAACATATTAAAACAGTAACGACAGCATGAGAGGTGGGTACGGGTCTTACCAGACTTAGGTTAAGGCCTTCCACATCTGAATGATTGGAGTTGCCATGTGGAGTCTGGGAAACAGTGCTCTAAGCAAAAGGAACAGCAAGTATTTGAGACCCAGACAGAAAAAGAATATGCTTTGAACACAGTGACTAAGGGTAGAATGATAGAAAATTGGGCAGAGAAGATCATGTGACTTATATGACGTAAACTGACAAAGATGGATGTCACTCTGTGTACCTTGAGAAGCCATTGAAAAACTAATTGCGTTTTTACCGTGTGGATGTGTGTGCCTTGGTATGCATGTGGGGGTCAGAAGACAATGTGCAATGATCAGTTCCAGAGCTCAGACTCAGGCGGTCAGGCTTTGTGGAAGCACTGTACCTATTGAGCCATCTTCCCACTCATACCAGACTAGAGATGCTGCATGTTTGGTGCTCGGTCCGTGGTGGGATGAAAGGGGAGAGTAGCTCAGGTGAAGTAGCTGGACTGGAGTGCAAGTGGGAGATGAAGACAGCAGTGGAGAAGATACCTGGGCTTGGGACTTAAGTAATGGGAAAAATTGGGACAGGAGCAGTTTAGGGTGGACTCAAGAATTTCTGTAGGTTTCTTTGCCCTGTAATTGAAAGGCCAAGAAATTTCTACAGCAACAAAGGAACATTGGTCCTAACACCCACTTGCCTTCCTTCCTCCTGTGACTTAACACTACCTTATCTTCCTACCCTCTATCCTTCCCACCCCCCAAAAATGTAGCTAGAACTATAGCTGTGCACCGTACACCACTAGACTTCTGGCCTGGCCTGGCTCCAGGGCTTCATATCTGTGCTCAGGTTTACGCAGGGGCCTGGTGAGCCTTATTTCGTCCAGTAGTGGCAAGAATGACAACACAGCAACAAACCCTTAGCCTTTGTAAATTTATTCTTCCTGGGGTTCAGCAAGATGGCCCAGTGGGTAAAGGTACTTGCTGCCAAGCCTGATGACTTGAGTTTGATCCCTGGGACCCACATGGTGGAAGGAGAGAATCAACTTGTTCTCTGACCTCTACACATGTATTGTGACACATGTGCCCCCTTCCCATACAATAAAGTCTTTGCTGTTGCTTGCTTCTGTGATCTTGAGCAGTTACTTGCCCAATTGGCAGTTTTGTGTCTTGAGTGATACAAGAACTTGTGGTAGGATGAATATACACATTAACTGAGCCATGCATTTCATGTGGATAGTGACTAGTTTATTCCCCGTAATGAATGAGGACAGGTCCTTTTGTTCCCTTCTTGAGATAGGGCAAGGTATAGGCCAGTAAGTGTAGAAGCTGCACTTCAACCCTAGGTGTGGCACCAAAATCCTGAGTCTATTTTGTTTTTGCTTTAATTATTATAAGGTGTATTGGGTGTTCTGCCCACATGAATGTCTGCACCACATGCATGCAGTGCCATAGAAGTAAGAAGGGGCCATTGAATCCCTGGAACTTAAGTTACAGATGGTTGTGAGCCATCATGTGGGTGTTGGGGATTGAACTCAAGTCCTCAGGAAGAGCAGCCAGTGCTCTTAGTTTTTATATAAACTTTTTCCTTTAATGTATGAGTACCTGGTACCAGACAGGATCTCATAGCAGAGACTGGCCCTGAATTCCTACTTCTACCTCCTAGCTGCTGGAATTACAAGACACATGTATGTTCTGATACTTTTTTTTTTTTTTTATTTTTCGAGACAGGGTTTCTCCGTAGCTTTTGGTTCCTGTCCTGGAACTAGCTCTTGTAGACCAGGCTGGCCTCGAACTCACAGAGATCCGCCTGCCTCTGCCTCCCGAGTGCTGGGATTAAAGGCGTGCGCCACCACCGCCCGGCCTGATACTTTTTTTTAAAGTTCATTTAAATTCATTTTATGTGTATTAGTGTGAAGGTGTCAGGTGCTCTGGAACTGGAGTTACAGACAGTTGTTAGCTGCCATGTGGGTGCTGGGAATTGAACCTGGGTCCTCTGGAAGAGCAGCCAGTGCTCTTAACCGCTGAGCCATCTCTCCAGCCCTTCTGATACTTTTCTTATTTCCAACTTTCTTCACCATCAAATATCTCAACATCAGCCAGATGTGATGGTGCACGTTTTTAATCCAAGGACTAAGGAGGGAGAAGCAGGAGGATCTCTCTGATTTTTGAGGCCAGCCTGGTCTACATAGTAAGTTCCAGGACAGCCAGGGCTGTTTAGAGAGACCCTGTCTCAAAAGACCAAAAACACAAAGCAAAATCTGGGCTAGAGAAATAGCTCAGCTTATAGAGTGATTATGCAGACCTGAGTTTGATCCCCACCTAAAAAAGTCAGGCCAGGGGTAGTAGTAATATCAGTGCTGTGGAAGTGGAGATAGGTGGATTTCTGGAACTTGCTGGCCGGCCTGCCATGCTTGCTTGCTGAGTCCTAGGTCAGTGAGGGACTGTCTTAAGAAAAGGTTGACATTGTCTGAGGAAGGACACTCAGTTGTCCTCTGGCTTTCGTGTGCATGGCACACACATAGGGAATCTAAACAACAATGTAGAGATATAATTCAGTAGTAAAGGGCTTGTTTAGCATACAGCAGGTCATGAGTTGTATACCAGGCACTGCTCCTGTGTCACCCCTAGCCTCCCAATAACCTCTCATAAGTATTAACATCGAAGCTGAGCCTTCCCTCACAATCTAGGATCTGTATTTTATTTTATGACTCCTTTGCCTGTTGCATATTTTCTCTTTAGAAACCCACGGGCCTTCAGCAGATCTCTGTTGTTTCTGACCTCCAGCACTCTCTCTTCAGGTGGACATCTTCAATAAGGAACTGCTGCTGATCCCCATCCATCTGGAGGTGCACTGGTCCTTAATATCCGTGGATGTCAGGCAGCGCACCATCACCTATTTTGACTCGCAGCGCACTCTTAACCGCCGCTGCCCTAAGGTTTGAGGAGGCTGTGGGAAGACAGTAGTAAAGATGTATGGCCACTGGGCAGCAAGCCTGAGGAATGACTGTCAGACTCTGCATTCGGCTGGTAAATGATGGTGTCGCTTTCTTTTTCCTTTCCCACATAGCATATTGCCAAGTATCTGCAGGCAGAAGCCGTAAAAAAAGACCGACTGGATTTCCACCAGGGCTGGAAAGGTTACTTCAAAATGGTGAGTTTCCAGAGGGAAGTAGAATAGTGAGGTAGTGGATAGGAGGTGGGAACTGAATCCGTGACCTCTGGGATTCTCTTGCTTTCTCCTCCCTAGAATGTGGCCAGGCAGAACAACGACAGCGACTGTGGTGCCTTTGTGTTGCAGGTAAGCAAGTGCGCGGCCCCCTTGGCGCCAGTCAGTGCTTAGGGCTGTTGATGGGTTCTTGCCTCAGTTGGCTCAGCCAGTTGTAGAGCAAGGAGTACCTTTATGTGAGAGAACAGAAACCCTGCTTTCCTCTCCAGTCCTTCTCCATCCAGAGTTGGGACTGGTTCTCTGCCTTTGGTCCCAGTATAGAGGCTTCTTGACAGCCTCCCCCAATTCAATCTCTTTTTTCCCACTTGTATGTAGAGTGTTTTTCTCACTTGTATGTAGAGTGTTTTAAATCCCAGGCTATTAGATGCTAATGCCAGTCTGTATGAGAAATGGAGATTCTCTTACGGTTTGTGTGAACTGTGTAGTGCGGGTCCTGACTGGGAGGGATGCTCAGTAAACGTTCTCATGGCCTGCTTTGTTAACACCCAGTACTGCAAGCACCTGGCCCTGTCTCAGCCATTCAGCTTCACTCAGCAGGACATGCCCAAGCTTCGACGGCAGATCTACAAGGAACTGTGTCACTGCAAACTCACTGTGTGAGCCTCATACCCCAGACCCTTTAATGGGCAGGGGACAAGGGAGAGCCTTCCCAAGAAACTCGAGTTCCTCTGTCTCCCCACCCAGGTCCCTTTGGATTTTCATATTTAAATGTTTTGATTTCTGTATTTTGTTTTCTTTGCGAGAATGTTGATTTCTGATGGGAAGGGGGTGGCCACACGAGGCTTTCCTCCCTCTCTAGGGGAATGTTGCCCTGTGGCCTAGGGGCGCATCATTCCTCCTTCTGCGTTCAGGGGGCAGGAAAACTGTGGGGGTGGTGGGCGGGCAAAGGGATTACTGCCTGCCAGATCTTCAAGACTTTTTTTTATATATATAAATATATATATAAAAATGCCACGGTCCTGCTCTGGTCAATAAAGGATCCTTTGAAGATACTTAAGTGGTGGTCTTACTTGAGGGGCCTTAAATTAGTGGATGTGCCCTGTCTCAGGCCTTCCAGCTAGTGCTGTTAGCTGCCCCCTTTCAGGTCTTAAGATCTCAAAAGCCAGCTTTCTATATGTGCCAACACTTCCTCGTCCAAACAGATCCTCCAGGGCAGTATAGTGGAGGGCAGGAAGAGGAATTAGCCTCAAAAATAAGGGAGCCTGAGAGAGAAGCTGGAAACAGGCAAGTACCCTGACAACACACCTTCCTATGCCTGTTAGACAAGAAATGGGTTTCATCCTTTTCTCTCCAGTTAGGAAAACTTCCTATCCCCTGAGAGATCGATACTGGTTCCGTCATTCTTGGCGCACCGTGAACACACCAATCTTTAGTAGTCAGAAGAACAAAACTTCGGCAGGAACCTGTAGCAGAGATGTAAAGGGAAGTGGTAGTCCCGAGTGCCCGGAAGTCCCCGGAGGCTAAAGCCTCACCCCCGTCGCTTGATAGGACCCGCTGAACCATGTGACTAAGGCACGCTCGCCTCCGCACGTGTAAAGGTGCTGGGCTCCAAGATGGCTGCCCTGCCGCGAGGCCCAACTTCTATATGTCACTTCCGTACCAGCGAGAAAGGCGGGCCCTTCAGCCAATGAGGCTGCAGGGCGGGCCTCGACCTTGATAGACATTCAAATTACCCAATAGGGCGTCCGAGGTAAAGCGCCTACAAACTAACGTCACGTCGAGTTGCAGAGCGCCGGCAGGCGGGGCAGAGGCGGCCAAGCCAATGCGATGGCTGGGGCGGGGTCGGGTGCTCTATAAGTTGTCGATAGGCGGGCACTCCGCCCTAGATTGTAAGGATCATGTCTGCGAGTCAGGATTCTCGGTAAGAAAGGCATTTGCAAGCGGTGGTGGCTACTTACCCCGCCGCTCCCTTCGAAGGTCCCGCGGGGGGGAAGTTGAGAGGCCCATCGCCCAAAACCTACCAGGTTGCGAGGGGAACCGAGCCGGGAGGAACCGTCCAGAGGGGGGGCAAAGGGGAATCCATCCACGGCCGACGCTGCCACCAGCGCGGAGACGGGAAAGGGCGGAGGGCGCGAGGTTCGTCGCGAGGCCTCTGCCCGAGGGGCGGTGCGGTGCGCGGAGCCCGGGTACTGAAAGGCGAGACGAGGTCGCGACCTAGCGTGGGAAAGAGGAGAGGCGGCTGCGCGGCCCGGAGCCGGCTGGTCTGGTTGTCTCCCTGTGTCGGGCAGGGCGCGTGCGAGGGTTCCGGAGGATTCTGGCGGTACCACTCGCGACAAGCAGGGGTGTCTGGGTCTTCACGTCGCTCTTGGAATGTGGGTTGGGGAAGAAGAAACAGGCCGTTCAGGGTGCTGGTTTTCTTGACGGCCAGGACTGAGCTTAACCCCGAGGAGCGACCGCGTGAGGCACCAGGAGCCCACCCGGCGCCGGGCGGGCGGGTCCATTTTGCCGCACAAGCCGGGCAATTGGCAAACTGCGGATGGGCAGGTCCACTTTCCTTCGGGGGTGAGCGGCCTGAGGTATGGGAGGGCGACGCCATTTCTCGACGGGGGCGGGCGGGTTGCGGATTGTTTCATGGCGGGGGAGACGCCGCCGAGTGACGGAGCGAATGAGCACATGGCCGCTTGAGAGGTTCCCCTCCCCCAGTCTGCTTCGCTTGTCTGTGTTGTGCAATCTCCCCTTCAGCTAACTCGGCCGGGGCTCATTGTGCGCGAGGCCGCCACCGCCCGCGGCCTCCCACATCCGGGTACTGGGAAGGGGGGGCAGGCCGGAGGGAGTGGGGGAGGGCGCGGGCGGCATGACGTGGGGGGAAGGGGACGGCCCACCCTCGGAACTCCGAGGTGAAGGGCGGGACTTCCGGTGGCCTTGATGCCGGGGAGGAGGCGCACACGCTTTGCTCCGCCGGGCTCAGACCGTGTGGGTCTGGCAGGAGACACCGCATCTCGGCGTCTTGTGTGCGAAGGCACAGCCCGTTGATCTTCACAGGAGGGTCACTCTAAAGTGCCTCTTGACTGTCGTTTGTGAACAAATGGGAGTTGGATCGGGAATTGGCTGCTTGCTTCCGTGCTCTACTCCATCAGGAAAACAAAACTAATGCTTTGAATCAACAGATCCAGAGACAATGGCCCTGACGGGATGGAGCCCGAAGGTGTCATCGAGGTGAGACTCCACTACCCTGTCATGAATTTTCTCTCCTATTCAAATCCTTGCTGTACACGTCTGAAGCAAACAGGCGGTACCTCAGACACCTAGAATGAGGTGGCTGGCTTGGGTGGAGTGGTTGTGCAGCTTTTATTGTAAAACATGTTACTGTCTTACTAGCTTTTCATTTCCTTGCATCCTGCAGAGTAACTGGAATGAGATTGTGGATAGTTTTGATGACATGAATCTCTCAGAATCTCTCCTCCGTGGTATTTATGCCTATGGTTTTGAGAAGCCCTCTGCCATCCAGCAGCGAGCCATTCTTCCTTGTATCAAGGGTAAGAATCATTGTCAGGATAGATTTGGACTGTCCCTGACTTAGGTAGATTTTTAATGGTCGGTGACTAGCCTAGGTGGGTGTAGTTGATAATGTTTGGTGTCCTGGAGTCTGTTGTCACAATATCATGGTGACAAGAACCCCATATTTTGCATCCTTGTTTCCTTACTGATACCATGAACTCTAGGGTTCTGAATGTCTATGAGCCCAAGCTCCTTTACCAAATGGAATTCTTGATCTGATTGTAGGTTATGATGTGATTGCTCAAGCCCAGTCTGGGACTGGGAAAACAGCTACATTTGCCATATCAATTTTGCAACAGATTGAGTTAGATCTAAAGGCCACTCAGGCTTTGGTTCTGGCACCCACTCGTGAGTTGGCTCAGCAGGTAAGAGTGGTTTCTTCCTTTTTAAATGGCTGGTGGAAGAATGGCAGCAACTGAAAGGGCAGGTGCATTTTCTGTTACTGCTGGCTTTAGAATCCTTGTGGTAGCTTCTAGAGCTGTTGATTATCAACAGTTTCTGCTAGCGAAACTTTACTCAGTTCTGTGGAATCAAGCTGGCTGGGCAGGGTCAGCTGTTTTATGAAAGAATCCCTGGCAATGGGCAAAGAGACACCTTGGTGGTGGTGTTGTTCTTAAATCAGCCAGGGGCAGAGCAGATGACAGTCCTTTGTTCATCCTAGCTTGATGCCTGGCTTGGTGGCCAAAGCTGTTTCATGCCTGGGGCACAAAATCCTGATGCTAGTGTTAACTATTTAAAGCTAGTGATTATTTTGAAGCATCTGGGTGTTGATAGAAGCAAGAAATTAGAATTAACAGTGAGGGCCCTGTATATCCAGATCATTGTTTGTGTGTGTTTTGTTTGCGTACGGACTGGGGGTATAACTCAGTAGTGGAACGTGTGCCCGGCATGAGTGAAATCTTGTTTTGTGGCAGGGATGTAATAAACATGTTGGGTATGTTGTTGCATTCCGAATCCAGCCTTTGGGATGTGATGTGGCTGGAGGCTGTGAGTTCCACACCAAAGGGCTGGCCTGGGTTTTAGAGTTGCATGTAGAATGGAAAACTTACTATGAGCCTATGTGTTTAGAAATCAGGACTGCCATTTGTGATGGCAGTGGGGGGGGGGTGTCTTAAGATTAAATTGACAGGGCTGGAGAAATGTTTCAGAGGTTAAGAGCATTGCCTGCTCTTTCAAAGGTCCTGAGTTCAATTCCCAGCAACCACATGGTGGCTCACAACCATCTGTAATGGGGTCTGGTGCCCTCTTCTGGCCTGCAGGCATACACACAGACAGAATATTGTATACATAACAAATAAATAAATAATTAAAAAAAAAACAAAAAAAGATTAAATTGACAGCTGCTTTTCAGCAGGTAACGGGTAGGATAATTTAGTAAACGGCCTGTCATAGCCCAAGCTAATGGAGATGTCTCTTTTGTGTTCAGATACAAAAAGTGGTCATGGCATTAGGAGACTACATGGGTGCCTCCTGTCATGCCTGTATTGGGGGCACCAATGTGCGTGCTGAGGTGCAGAAGCTGCAGATGGAGGCTCCCCATATCATCGTGGGCACTCCTGGCCGGGTGTTTGATATGCTTAACCGGAGATACTTGTGTAAGTACTAATTTACAGTTAGTTGCTGGGTGGCTTTCCCAAGTTTCATTTCTTAGGATGCTAGTTTTCCCTTACTTAGAATTGAGTTGCTCTATGATGAACCCCATGCGTGTCATCTGAGCCCAGCTTCCCTGTTGCCTTAGCCCAGGTAGTGTTCTACTTCCCAGGGCTGTTGTCTCACTTAGCAGGGAGGTCCTGGGCAAAGGATCAGTCCTTATATTCTGAGAGCGGACTGTCTGCCCCTTGGCTGCCCTCTTACCAAGAAACTTAGTTAAATATATTTTATATTTCTTACTGTGCTTGGTATTGTTTCTGCCTTCTAGCGCCAAAATATATCAAGATGTTTGTACTGGATGAAGCAGATGAAATGCTAAGCCGTGGGTTCAAGGACCAGATCTATGATATATTCCAGAAGCTCAACAGTAACACACAGGTAAGGAAGGTGGCAGTCTTCATGGGGTAAACATGGCTTGGTTGTGATGTGAGGAGCACAAAACACCCTTGTGGCTGATCCATTTTCACCCCCACTAACTAGGTAGTTTTGTTGTCTGCTACAATGCCCTCTGATGTCCTTGAGGTGACCAAGAAGTTCATGAGAGACCCCATTCGGATTCTTGTTAAGAAGGAAGAGTTGACCCTGGAGGGTATCCGCCAATTCTACATCAATGTGGAACGAGAGGTGGGGCCCAGTGCAGGAGGCGGACCTGGTAGTAAGTTGTTGGGTATAGCCCCTGACTGATGTTTCCGGATCTCCAGGAGTGGAAGCTTGACACATTGTGTGACTTGTATGAAACCCTGACTATCACCCAGGCAGTAATCTTTATCAATACCAGAAGGAAGGTGGATTGGCTCACTGAGAAGATGCATGCCCGGGATTTCACTGTTTCTGCCATGGTAAGTTTTCTCAAATAGCTATGTGCATGTGTGTAGGTTGCCCAGAAGACACCTTGTGCTATTTGTTACATCCTTATTTTCTAGCATGGCGATATGGACCAAAAGGAACGAGATGTGATCATGAGGGAGTTCCGGTCTGGTTCTAGCAGAGTATTAATTACCACTGACCTGTTGGTGAGTAAAGGCCAGTTTAGGGAAAGCAAGAGGGGAGGAGTAAGTCCAAGGTGATTCCCTCTCCAAGGGGCTGACCAGTGCCCCTTTCAGGAACGTAGCAACTTGGAAGAAAATCTGGCATGCCTGAGGTCTGGGGAACAAGGGTTGCTTGTTGCCTTTGCCTGCCTTTGGTTGCCCACATGTATGCCTAGTCAGTCTGGGTAGATTACCTTCTGACAGCTCTTACCATCTTTCTTGACCTAGGCCAGAGGCATTGATGTGCAGCAGGTCTCCCTAGTCATCAATTACGACCTTCCCACAAACAGGGAAAACTACATCCACAGGTAAATTAAGATCTGAGGTACCAGAACTCACTTGTTCAAACTCGCGGGCACCCCTTTCTCACTTGCATATTCCTTTCTCCTTAGAATTGGCCGTGGCGGTCGCTTTGGCCGTAAAGGTGTGGCCATTAACATGGTGACGGAAGAGGACAAGAGGACTCTTCGAGACATCGAGACATTCTACAACACTTCCATTGAAGAGATGCCCCTCAATGTTGCTGACCTCATTTGAGGAGCTGTCCTGCTACCTGGCCATAGCCAGGGTTCAGTCCTGGGGGGCTGAGGAACAGCTGGAGGGGGGAGGGAAGGGAGCCAAGGGATGGACATCTTGTTTTTGGTTTTTTTTGTTTTTGGTTTTTTTTTCTCTTTGAATAAATGTCACTTTTTGAGGCAAAAAGAAGGAACCGTGAACATTTTAGACACCCTTTTCTTTGGGGTAGGCTCTGCCCCAGGCGCCGTCTCTTCCCCCCCACCCCCCAAAACACTAATCATTTCCCTAACCTAGTCAGTCACCTGATTCTAAAGGCTTTCTTACCCGGCCAAGTCTCAAAGTGAGTCAAGGGTCTAAAAGATGTCTGGCCTCATTTGCTGGACCAAATCTACAGGGAGAATCCCTGCGAGAAGTTGTCCGGGGAATTGTTCCCCAGGTGAGGGGAGCAGGGGAGAGAATATGGTAGCCATTTTTACATTGTTTTGTATAGTATTTATTGATTCAGGAAACAAACACAAGAATTCTGAATAAAAATACTTGGAAACTGCCTGTTTGGGCTTCTTGTTTGTTTCTCTGCCACCTGCTGCTTGCGTGGATCAGCTGTGCTAGTTCCTTATTGTATTTGCTGTGTTGCCTCCTTGCTGTGTGTTCCTACAAATAACAAATGAGGCACACCTTTAATCCTAGCAGAGGCCAGCCTGGTCTTCAAGAGCTAGTTCTAGGCTCCAAAAGCTACAGAGAAACAAAAAAAAAAACATGACCCACTGTATTTAAAGTGGTACTGACAGTATAATGCCCTGAACAGAAGGTTAGTCACAAGTGTCATGTGATTCCAGCCTTGAGGAACTAATAAAGAGTAATGGGGTCAAGGAGTAAGTGAAACTGAGTTCTGCATAGTCATAGCTGAGGCCCAACCCAGATATGGATGCTGATTGCCTCCTTTGAGTTGGTGGAAGAGGGCTCCCTCTGTCCTGAGAGTATGGACCAGGTTGGCCTCTTAGATCTGCCTGCCTCAGTAGTGCTGGGTTTGAAGGTGGTGCACACAGGTGGGGTTAGGTTTCTGACCAATGAGGAAAACGCATTTCTCGCCTTGTAAATAACCAAGTAGAGCAAGTTTTGCTTTAGGTAAGATCCTCTTGAGTCAACTGCCTCATTTTTCACGTGGTAAGCAAGACTTTGTACCTCCCACTCAAAAGGCCACTGCCAATCACAGCTTAGTTGTGAAAGCCAGTGACTAACATGGGAGCAGAGGTGTCTGAGTCAGGTTCGGGGTGGGATTATCTTAGTTAAGGGAAGTACAACTTTCATTTCCTC